CTATTTCTGGGTTATCAGAGTCTGAAACCTGAAGCGTATGCAACCCAAGGTACCACTGTATACTTCAAGCACATACATTACAGCCTAACTATACATGACCTCAACAGGGTAGTTCTGCCTTTGAGATTCAGGGCTTTGACCAGTGTGGAGGGTCTGGTCCAAATCATAACTGCAGCAAAGGATGGAAGGTTAAATCCACCTTATCTCCCACAGTAGGGTCCCAGTCTGGATCATTTCCCCATACTAGCTATTTCTGGCCCCTCCGAAAGCCTACACCCAAGGACAGAACTATGCAGTTAAGGTCACCTATAGCTATTTTTATGATACAGATTCAACCTTTCTTTGGATCTCATGCTTGACACTGGGAAACTTTTGGGGGTGGGGATAATCCAGCCAGTCCTCTACACATGCCATTATACAGGTAGTCCACCCCCACCCCGCCCCCCAGCGTGTAGCAATTCAGAGCACAAGAAGACCATCTAATGTGTAATGGATGGATTTTCCCCAAAATTGATTTTTGAATTCTGAATTTATTGTTACAGTGGTACCTCTGGTTAAGTACTTACTTCATTCCGGAGGTCCGTTCTTAACCTGAAACTGTTCTTAACCTGAAGCACCACTTTAGCTAATGGGGTCTCCTGCTGCTGCTGCACCACCAGAGCACGATTTCTGTTCTCATCCTGAAGCAAAGTTCTTAACCCAAGGTACTATTTTCTGGGTTGGCAGAGTCTGTAACCTGAAGCATCTGTAACCTGAAGCGTATATAACCCAAGGTACCACTGTATTCATGTTTATACTGTAGTTTATGCTGTTTTTTGTTGCATCAATTAAGTGTTTTAAATTTGAGCCCGGTTTTCTGAACCAGGAAAGGCAGGGTATAAATAAATTATTATTATTATTATTATTATTATTATTATTATTATTATTATTATTAAAGGGAAACTGGGTTAGGTGATAAGGGACTCCTGAACTGGACTGAATTGTCCCCAAATATAATCTACAGCAGTGACCAGAGGAGGAATGACTGCCAGGAGGAGTGCAGAGAGAGGAAACGCCATGGTGCATCTGCAGCAGCACAACTGGATGCCTTCATCTGCCCCAGCTGCAACAAAACATGCCTCTCCCACATCAGTTTCTGCAACCACAGCAAGCGCTGCAGCCTGCCGACCGTTTGACCTCATCCCCAAAAGCGCACCTCCATTGTCTCCCAAGGCAGAAGGATGCCATCTATTATTCTTATACCTAGCCAATAATTTGTCCCTTTCATCAAAACAGTTCCTAAGACCATTTTATATTTACTCTCACTTTTCTTTTTAATTAATAAGTGGGGGGGGGGAGGCACCACAGGGACTTTTGGGGCAAAGAGGAAAACTGCAATCTGATCAGCAAACAGCAGCAAACTTAACTGCTCAGTCCTTCCATTGCTGGCTCCAAAAAGTATAGGACCAAATCAATATATTTCCAAATTAGAAATAAGTGGAGTTTTTAAAAAATAAAAATATTTACCAGTTTTAAGGGACACCAACCCTGCAGTTCCTACCAATTTTAAAGAAAAACCCATATAGCTAAACATTTCACAACCATGACCATTTTAAAGTGTATAATGATGTTTTTTTTAGTGCGATATTTCACACCACTTAAATGATGCCTTTTATTATAGGATCTCCTGCTTTCATTGGAAACAGTAAATTTTAACGTTAACATTTTGCAAGGAACGGTCATGCATTTTAACAGACTCTATGGGCCTTTTCTGAAGTAAAGTGGTTACTTGCTTTAAGCAGCTGTCCCTGGGATAAAGGTCAAATATTCGCTGAATGATAATCCTTAAAAAATATATATTAAGCACATGGTGAAGATTCCAATGGAGCCCTGTTTCACACACAACCTCCTTCCGGCAGCATGAGAGGGCATTAGCAGGAATGAAATGTCTCTGCAAGTCTCCCAATTCCTCATCCATCCCTCCTGCATCCATACAAGCTGCTTCTATGTCCCAAGTCACTTGAATTGGGCAGAGGGGAAACATGGGAAGGGTACATGGGATGGGTGCTGTAAACTGTAATGCCCACTTGTTGTGTGAACATTTATGGGGAGTGGAAGGTGGGAAAACAGAGCCCCACTGAGTCCATTGGAAACTTCCATGGGTGGATGTGCTGCCTGAAGTCAAAGTACCCCATAATACAGGATCTGTTTGTATGTTTCTCCCAGCTAATATGAAACACATCAGTGCAGTAAATTAATCTGCATGTGTTTATAAAATAAATGCACCTTTTAAATATTTCATGGTTGGAAGGCTTAACTTAGAAGATGAAAGACAAAATCCATTTCAGAGCATCTGAGAGCAATTGTGGCATCTGCAGGGTGGAGATTTGAGCAGAAAACCCGGGTAGCTACAAAGAGCGTTACTGAATGCTATTGGATCAGCCATAGTCCAACTCAGAGGTTTTCAAGCTTTCTGAGTCCGACAGCTCCCATTCTTTCTGTGGCTCCCCTGTGGGGAAATGTGCTCCAAGCCTCAGAAGCCCATTTATGTCAACCCTTGCCTGCAGAGCCAGCAGCCCCTCACCTCTTTTTGAACACCCTCCTCTCCTCTCCTCTCCCCTGGCCAGGCACCATTTGCCTGGGGAGTATGTAGCTGCTGCAATAAACAGCTGTGGAAGCCTTTGAGAAGCAGAGACATGAGAGGGCATCAGAGGGAGGGAGGGAGGGAGGGAAGGAAAGAGGGACAGAGGCCAGTGTTGCCTATGGTACCCAAGCATCATTCAAGGCATCCCAGGGTGCCACGGCGCAATAGTTGAAAACCACTGGTGTAACCTATCTGAGTGTTGTTGGAAGATGAAAAGGGTGGGCTGCTTCATGAAGAAAGAATGGGATAAAAATCAGATAGATTGCAAAAGCAAGTGATTCACTTTTAATTTGGGGATTAATTTCCATTGGGATTTATTTCCACATAAGCATGCATGAGCTTCATCTATTTGGCAAGAACACGTGCTGGAATATGTGTATCAGGGCAAACTGTGTTTGGAACTGAAGGGGCTTTCAACAGTAGTGGTTAGCTCTTCAAAGGACAGAAGGAAAACATTCACTGGGCTAGTGTAAGCCCCTTGTGTAAGCCCAGGTGGGTAGTTGTTTTTTAGGCAAGCTTACAAAGCTTAGTCAAATTTTAAATTGACTGAAAATAATTGTTTTGATGCCAATCCATATAACATGGAAGCCAATATGCTGGGAATGCCTGCAAGCATGCAGGCTGATATTCTTCTGAGAACATGCTGCTGGCAAGCAATTACTCAGCATAAGATTTAGAATGAAAACAAACAAACCAAAAGTATATGGCCTCTCTGTACAAAATGAACTTGACAGGTGAATTATTAACTACAATAAATCAGTCTCGTTTGCAACCTTGGGTGCTGCCTGGGCAGAATGGAAATCACCTTGTCTAAGCAAACTTCTCGTTTCCTTATGCGAACAATGGAAGAGCTATGTCTTGCAGAAGGATTCCAGACATCAAATCGAAATATTTCAGTTGTGTGCAAGAAGCTTCAAGTAAACCACGTTTAGCTTTTCAGTGACTTGATTTGCAGTTAACAGCAGTGATCTGAAACGAACTGAAATCTCCCCTACAAAGAATTCACAGGTATGTTCATCCATGCCAATTTGCCAAGATTTGAATGAATGAGTTACAATACAAAACCATGATTGAAAGCCAGCAGTTATGTTAAAACCAAAACTGATAATTATGATGTGTCATATATATATATATATATATATATATATATAGGCACAACTTTACAAAAAAGGAAGCAAAATTCAAATTTGAATTGATGCATTGATTTGTTTGTTTTAGTTAACCTCTAAACCCAAAATGTAGGGACGCGGGTGGCGCTGTGGGTAAAAGCCTCAGCGCCTAGGGCTTGCCGATCGAAAGGTCGGCGGTTCGAATCCCCGCGGCGGGGTGCGCTCCCGCTGCTCGGTCCCAGCGCCTGCCAACCTAGCAGTTCGAAAGCACCCCCGGGTGCAAGTAGATAAATAGGGACCGCTTACTAGCGGGAAGGTAAACGGCGTTTCTGTGTGCGGCTCTGGCTCGCCAGAGCAGCGATGTCACGCTGGCCACGTGACCCAGAAGTGTCTCCGGACAGCGCTGGCCCCCGGCCTCTTGAGTGAGATGGGCGCACAACCCTAGAGTCTGTCAAGACTGGCCCGTATGGGCAGGGGTACCTTTACCTAAACCCAAAATGTACATATAGGAGGCTTTCTACTCCCACTATGTACATATGGGAGACATTTAACTTTTTTAAAACCTTGAAATCTGGCTTCTGTTAAATCACACACTGTGGATGCAACTTCCTAAGGCTGTACAATGCCATGTCTTCAATAAAGACTCCATTAAATGTTAAAAAGGGGGAAAGGAGGGAGGATACTGTGACCTGGCTCTATAGTCCACTGCTTCCAACACAAGAAGCATTGTTTCTTTCCCCTGTTAATCTTCCTAAAAGGTATACTCTCTGAATGGGGACTGCCAGCAGCTTTTCTTCTGGTAATTACTACGAGCATCCAAGAAAAGAAAACCAAGAGGTCAGGGAGGCAAAAGAAAAAGAAAGATTCCCCTTTTCCAAAGATGCATATTTACAAAAAGAACCATTTCATAGCTGAAATTCCTTTGAAAGTTGCTGCTTTCCTGAATTTTATATATATATTTCTCCAAAATACTTCTAGACTGGAAAGTGGCACGGGCATTGCACAACAATTAATCTATTTTAGCAGCTTTGCAATGACTGCTTTGTATCTGTGCTGAGAGGTGAGCCGTTTCCTATGTGAACTATGCTAGAGAGCTCTGAGAGGCTACAGCCAGCTAGCCAACGCTTTAGGTGGGACACCATCCCAATTCTCCATCCATAGTGGTGCATGCACGTGTCAATTTGGTAAACTTCTGACAGTGGCTTTCTGTTTGTTTGTTTTGGTGCAAAGAGGCTGTAACACACTTTTCGCCTTGGATTAGCCTCTGCAAGTTAAACTGCAGCCCCAATCACTACCACCACCAATGAAGGCTGGAGACCATGCACCTGCTCTGACCCTTCCCTTGGCAGAGGCCTGGTCCTGCCGATATTCATCAGAGCAAAGCACTGAGATAAACTCCAGCCGGCCTTCCCAGAGCTAGGTCAGTTCTCATAACGTCAGAGGACTTTCTGGCTCCCCCGTTTTCTCTTTCTCCGGCAGGGTAAGTACAAACGGGAGAAGGACCCCTTTAGTATCAAATGGGGCTTTGAGAAGTTCTGGCTCAAAGCTCCCCTTGAGTCCACCATCTGCTTCCACCTCGCCATTCTGGGACAGGGCAAAGCACAGCATTCCAGTCCGGTTGACACAGTAGATGGCACTGCCCAAGGCAGCACAGCGGAACGGCTGCACCGGGTTGCCACTGGGGCGCAAGGAAGCACACTGACTCCAGTGCTTGGCCACCGAATTGTACCGGAAGACCTCCACCCCACCGGCCTGCCCCGGTTCCCCACGGCTGCTGCTCACGTCGAAGCGGTAGATGAAGTTCTTGTAGGACACCATGTCGGCGGAGCGTCGCCGGCTGCTGTTGTACGGGCACTCCTGCCACTCATCCCGCTTGGGATCATACTTGAGCAGGCGGTAGAAGAGCGACCCGCCCGACACGTAGATCTCCCCGTTGCAGGTGGTGGCTTCGTGAGCCACGGCAAAAGCCCCTTTCGGCAGAGGAGCCACCGGGCTCCACCGATCCGCCCGGGGGTCGTACTTCTCCACCGTGAAGAGACACTCGCCGCCCACCGCGTAGAGATAGCCGTCGAGGGCCAGCAGCTTCAGCTGTGAGCGAGGCTGCCCCATGGGCTTCACCTGGCTCCAGGTGTCCGTCAAGGGGTTGTAGCAAAAGACCTTGTCGGAGAGCCTGGTACGGGGCTCCCCCGGCCCTGTGGAGATGCCCCCAGCCAGGAAGAGGTAGTTGTAGAGCACACACATGGCACACCCCTTGGCGTTGGCCTCATCGGGCAGCCGGGTCAGCACCCTCCACTCCTTGGCCGCCTCGTGGTAGCTGTAGAGCAGGTAGCCACCGTCGTCCAGGGACACCACGGAGGAGGGGCTCTGCGGCCTGCTGCTCTCTCGGCTCTGCGGCCTGCTCCCGGCGTTGAGCCTCTCGAAGGCGTCGCTCACCTCGGCCACCAGCAGGCAGGGCTTGCCGGCGTCGAGGCGGCGCTGCAGGATCAGGTCCCTCTCGGCGCCGCTGAGGCGCCCGTAGACGGCGGGCTCGCGCAGCACCTGCAGGTAGTGGTCGCTCATGAAGCGGTAGGCGGCTTCGCGCAGCTCGGCCAGCCGCTGCTTCTTGGCCAGGGCCAGCAGCTGCAGGCAGTTGTCGAGGCGCAGCTGCGCCCTCATGGCCTCGGCGGCGCAGTGCAGCGCGCACGGCATCTGCAGCACCCGCGCGCCGCTCACCACCTCGGCCAGGTTGTCGTGGCGCACGTCGCCCATGCGCGCCGTGTACACGTAGTCGAGCAGCAGGCGCAGCGCCGCGTAGCTCACGCCCTTGACGCGCAGGATGTCCCTGGACGAGCGCGCGCGGAAGTAGTCGCTCTTGGCCGCCAGCACCGCCTTGTGCGCGCGGATCCGACGGCCCGACACCTCGATCACCAGGTCGGGCTCTTCCTCCGGCTGCGTCCCCCCCGGCGGAGAGGCGCAAGGGTCCTGCAGGAGCGCTTCGCCGACGGCCTGCGCGGCAGCCGGAGGGGACGACGGCTGCTGCTGCGACGACGACGATGGCTGGCTGCTGCTGCTACTGCTGCTGCCTTCCCCTCCACCTTCCTCCTCCTCCGACTCGGACGCCGCGTTGTTGATCTCCCACTGGCTTTGCACCACGCGGCTGCCTCCGCCGCTGCCCGCCGACGACGGCGAGGAGGCTGCGTCGCGCTCGGGCGCCGGGGCTTTGTCTCCGGGAGAGCTGAAGCACAGCGAGGAGCTGAAGCCGCAGGGCGCGGGCGATTCGGCGCTGGTTCCGCCGCTGCCGAGGATGCCGTCCTCGCCGTCTACCGCAGCGCGCCGCTCCATCGGGGCGGACGGCGGGCTGCTCCTCGCCGCCGCTTGCTCGCCACCGGCAGCTTTCCTCGGCGACGCTAGCTGCGCCGGCTGCGCCATCTCCATCTCCCCGCAGCGCGCCTCGACCTCGCCGACAGTCCCATTCTCACCTGGGGGAAGGACACAAGACAGCGCTGAGTTCTCCATCGGCCCTCGGAGGGCTCTCGCCTGCCTGCCTGCCAGCCACCCCCTCTCTCTCTTTCTCTGTCTCCTGCTTCTCTTGCCCTCCCTCGCAGGCACCTCCTTTTCCTCCCACTGCCTCCCCTCGTGCTGCCTGGCAGCTCTGGAGGCGACTGTGGACGCTCGCTTTTGCTCAGCTCTTAGCTTGGGTTGGGTTTTTGTTGGTTTTTTCCCTTCCCCTTGGCGCTCGGTCAATTTCCGCACTAGTTTCCCAGCCGTCGGGCTTCTCTCAGCAGCTAGAGAGCCGCTCACCGCTGAACTTTTGAACTGCCGAAGGGTGTATATAGTTCAGCTCGCGCTGTTTGATCAGGTCACAATATCCCTGAGTGGCATTGCAAAGCCTACATACAGTATAGTAAATTATCGCACGTCCTAGGGAGGTGGGGCCGGAAGATCTGTGCAGGGGATTTCCTGATACCCAGCCCCCATTCTTCCAAAGTCATTTTATGGCATCCTCAAGGTGGCTTTATATCTTCTCAGTAAATCACATCGTTCTGCAGTGGATCAGAAGTGGTTATCCACTTTCCTCATTTCCAACCCTTCCCCTGAATATTTCTGTAAGCCTGTCTACCCTATTAGCAAAGTCTTGTTCTCACCCTGTCAAGCCAAACTTAACATTCTGCACCAAGGCAAATTTAACCTCTGGAGATTATGCAATCTAAGCAGAGCTTTGTGTGTTTACATGATTTCTTCCTCCAAGTTCTTACACTCCATGCTCTGAGCCAGCTTTTAGATTTCACCAGGTTATCACCCTTACTTTCAAACTGATCTGTATAGTCTTGAGAACTGAAAACTTGCTGCTTTAGAAATGGAAGCATTATACCTGTTTTCAATTGATGCTCTGGTTAACAAAATCTACACCATCCTCCCTTTAACATTTCTAAGGGCTATTTCTGCACAGAAGTACAGTAATAATCTGATGGTCATGGGCCTACTCAGAAGTAGCCTGAGTTCACCAGGATTTACTTCCAACTAAAGGTGCATCGGTTTGCGGTGAGATAGCTTCTTTGCCAGATCCTATCTGTTTTTACTGAGAAGTAAGTTTCATGAGTTTTGATGGTATCCGGCTTCTACATAAGCACACATTATTTTGCAGCCTTAATTGCACCGAGAAAACTGCAGACTTAAGCAGGAAAGCAATGAGTCCAGCAGGCAATTCATACAATATCAGTAGAGCACAAAGTTCAGTTCGGAGCCTGTGGAATGAGTTTGGTCACACACTGAAACAGTAATACCTCTTTAAATGCTTTGATGCATAACTAAGACTCCAATCTGTGTGTGGGGAGATTTGACTATACGATTTGCAATTTGGAAAGACTTCTGAGAACTGGTAGCTTGAGTGCCCAGCAAAGCTATTATGCAACTAAAATTCAGCCCACCTAAGACTGCACCATCTTCCAATCACTCTTGTATGTGGCCCTGCTTTTTGAAGGATGACCAGTAGCAAACAACACCAAACAGGAACCAGTGGTGGTGTAGTGGTGAGGACTAGGACCTGGGAGACTAGGGTTCAAATCCCCACTCGTCCATGAAGCTCACTTGGTGGCCTTGGACCAGCAACTGCCTCTCAGCCTAATCTACATCCCAGGATTGTTGGGGGGATTAAATGAGGAGTGGTAGAACTATGGAAGCCACCAGGCTCCATGGAGCAAAAAAGGTGGGATATAAATGCAGCAAATGAATAGATAAAATAAATGTTGACATTGTAGTGCTGTATATGATCAGCCGCTACTATCCTCTCGATACTGCTACATGTGCATCAGTCGTGGATGGAAAGAAAGCAAGGCATTCAGAAGAACCTATGGCACCACACATATTGTTGGGCACCAATTCACATCAGTCTGACCTTGAGTATTTTTCAAAGGTGATGCAGGAGTGGGCAGCCATCCATCAGGGAGGCTGTAGTTGCTCTGCTGCATCAAGCAGACCCTACATCAAGCAGAGTTGGACTTCTAAAGTTGCTGTCTATCTCTGATGGCAAGACTGCACAGCCTTTAAGCAGGAACCGATTTAGCACTCAGTTATCAGTCTCCTATTAAAATTGTGGTTTGCCCATAGTATAAGCCCATGGAAAGATGGGTCTGTAAAGGCAGAATAATGCTATCTAAGGCTAGTCCATCCAGCTTGTCAACTAAGTGGCTAACTGATTAAATCATCTACTTGTGATTAAGAATCAAGGGACTCTGACTCCCCCCTGTGCAGGATCCTTGTACACACACACACACACACACACACACGAAGGATAATTCTGCAGAATGCAGCTTTTACAGACACTGCAGTAATGCAATGGCAAAAGCTGGACCTCATGATGGCCTGGTGATACAAATGTTTAGTTGGAACTATTGATCAGTTAATATTTGCTAATTGGTTGACAGCTGAAACGTATAAGAAGAAGTTAATGGGATGGTTCTGCTACCTGAAGCTCTTGTGATCGATGGCATCCTCAGTGCTCCTTCAATGGACTTGAGAATGTGGTCCTTTATTATAGTAATAGTAATAATTATTGACTATCAGTGAGCATTGAATATCGTCATTCCAGAATATATTTCTGCAGTTATTTCAGTGGAATAAATTAATGGCAATACTGTACATTTTCAGAACATTTTAGGGGGAGATTCTGCATCAATCTCCCCCTTGGGTCAGCAAGCTGGCACGGGAATTTCCTTCAGTCGGCGTCAAAAAGGTATTCCATTTCTCAACGATTCACTGTGCATCTTCCGTCCACCTATATGATAAAAACAGTTTTGGTTATCGTTCAGTTTTAAAAACGAAACAATTCCACATGTATTTTGTCTGAATTGATTTCCCCAAAGTAAACTTTTATATCATTATAGTGGTACCTCGGGTTACATACGCTTCAGGTTACATACGCTTCAGGTTACAGACTCTGCTAACCCAGAAATAGTACCTCGGGTTAAGAACTTTGCTTCAGGATGAGAACAGAAATTGTGCTCCGGCGACACGGCAGCAGCAGGAGGCCCCATTAGCTAAAGTGGTGCTTCAGGTTAAGAACAGTTTCAGGTTAAGAACAGCCCTCCGGAACGAATTAAGTACTTAACCCGAGGTACCACTGTACTGTAGTTTAGTTTCCTTTAATAGTGGATTCTGTATCCCATAAGCTAAACCAACTTTCTTTTTCTAGGTGTTCCTTTAATACAGTATAGGACCCCAAACTGCTGTTTGTTTTAGAGTTTGCCTACTACCTACTGGAATAGAAGATTATAATGCTCCTATCCGCTAATTAGGAGTGTTCCATCCTACATATTTAGTGAAACACATCTACTGGGCAATTAATCCAGCAGGCATGGATGTGGAGTTTACATTTCCACCCACATCAGAAGATGCATCCAGCCCATGCAATGGGACCAAGATGAATACTGCATTCAAACCTGTAAACCTAAATACAGCCGTTCTTTGAAATATCACATAATAACACTGTGATCCTCTGCTCACTTTCCCTGGAGGAGACTGACTGATTTCATAAAATTAAGGGCCAAACAAGACATGGCATTTTTCACATCATTTGCCCTTTCATAGTTGTTTAAAAGAAGAAGCTGACATGGCTGGACCCCAAGCTGGACTGCGATTATGGCCTGGCAGGAGAGGGGAGATAACCCTGTATCCCCTCCCCCATTCAGGATCTCCCCCATTTATGCAATGGGAGGAAAGGTTCCATGAAAAGTGAAAGGAAGGATATCGATGTAAGAAAATAAACAATGGTTTGGTGCTGAGCTGAGACCAACAGATAAGTTGGATACTCAAATCTCTTATCTAAAATCATAGCCCAGCATTAAAATATGCATATTGATAGTTTGCCTCGAATGGTATTCCAAGCATGTATTTGCAAAAGCAGCAAGTTTCAGCATTTGAGCCATAAGGATCCCAAGTTATTCAACTGACTTACAAATCTGGTTAGTTTAAAGTAGCAGTTCAGGGTATACTTTATCATGGTTTTAATCAATTGTCCAAAAATCATGGCACCTTGCAGGGTTTTTTATAGAATAATAATAATAATAATAATAATAATAATAATAATAATAATAATTTTTATTTATACCCCGCCCTCCCCAGCCAAGGCCGGGCTCAGAGCGGCTTACAAGCAATAATAAAAACAAGTTGAATGATTACAACTTAAAAACAAAATTAAAATACAGCATTAAAATATTGAAACATTAAAATGTAGCCTCATCGCAGAAGGAGATGAGGAGATGAATCCCCAATAACTTCATATCAGAGGTTGTAACTCACATTCACCAATTTTATCTACCATATTTTTTGCTCTATAAGACGCACCAGACCACAAGACGCACCTAGTTTTTGGAGGAGGAAAACAAGAAAAAAAATGAATATCAGAAGCCAGAACAGCAAGAGGGATCAATCCCTCTTGCTGTTCTGGCTTCTGGGATAGCTGTGCAGCCTGCATTCGCTCCGTAAGACGCACACACATTTCCCCTTACTTTTTAGGAGGGAAAAGTGAGTCTTATAGAGCAAAAAATAAGGTATATTATGCTTTCCATTCATATTTTTATTTGAAATGTAAAACATGCAAGTCAGTTATCTTGTCAGCAATGAATTTCATTTCAGGTGGTTTTGGTCTCATGGTTTTGTTTTGTTTTCTTGCATCCACAGTTCATTTTTCAGGATTTACTCAGTTTGCCTTCCTCACCAGAAGAAAATAATTTTCCTTGGAAAGTTTGTGGTCCAGGTTTGGCAGATGCTTTACTTTCCAAAAAGTCACTTTCATTTTTAATTTCCGAACTCAGTTTCCAGTCTAGGCTGTGCTTATGAAACAAGCCGATCCTGCAAAGTCCTCTTCATCAAAGCTTTGCAAAAATGAGAAAAAAACTCTTAAGCAAGTACATGCAGGACTCCTAAAGCTTCTTAAATATAGAGCAAAACCTGAGCATGCACATGCATGCACACACCAACCAAATCAAATCCAGCTTTAATGATTAGTTTGCATGATGTGCCCACAGAATCTTACTGCATACGTGGGGGAAAGCTTGTGGTACATTTCTGTTAAAGATGGAGAGCCTAGCCTGTCATCTGTGAAACATTTCATTTATTAAATAACTGAAGACTTAATGAATTTGTAGATTTTTGTTGTTGTTACTGCTGTTGATTTAGTCCGGGATGAATGGAAATGTCAGAAGACAGCGGACATGGGAACCTCCAGCAACCCTGAATTGTGCTGACAGTCTTGGCGGTGAGTCACTAGCAATATCCTGGACCTGTGCCCCCTCAACGAGCAAACAGAGACTTAAAATTGGCAAAGAAAGTCTTGGCAATCATAAGCAGCCTTCTGAGACTGCATTTTGAGCAAGAGAAGTGTTGTTAATATACATACGGAAGGTCATATTTCCTAAGCACTTGCCTACCTATGCCTTTATTCGCCACATGTTCCCCAGTTTTGCTTTTTCCTGTTAAAACAGCCTTTCACCAAACTTCTCTCCACATTTCCCAGCCACACTTAGATGTGAATGTGCCAGGCACAGCTCATTAGAATCAAAAAGTGTATAACCCTCTCATATAAGATGTTTGTGTCTCCTTGGTTTGATCGGAACTTTTTATATAGGAATCTACCTTATACCAGATCAAGCTATCCATGTGGCTCACTGTCTACTCCGATAAATGTCACTCCCATTAACTTTCATCCTTTTTAATACTGGAGATGTCTGAGATTGGACATGGGATCTTCTTCTTGAGAAGCATGTGCTCCACCACAGAGCTATTGGTCCTCCCCAAATGGAATTTAAGGCTATCCAGGTCTGAAGCAATGGGTTTTTCTGTTTTGTTTATGGAAGCACTACCATAGTTTAGTCCCATAATGAAAACTGGACACATAAGAGCTGGAAGGGACCAATGAAGGAACATGCAACTGTTCCATGTTTGATCAGACCTGCAACCTTGACATTATCAGCACCATGCTGTCACAAACTGAGCTATCCAGGCTGACTTACAGAAGGTTTATTCTCCAAGTCTAGTCTCAATTGTGTGGCCCATTAAAAACCTATAACTTTGCAAAGGAGTGGCTCTCAAATGCTCTTGCAAACAAGACTGTGGATACAAGTTTGTAAGACTAATATTTGCTAAGAGCTTACGTTTCCAGAAATGTTTTAAAATTATTGGATATAGCAAACTGTCCTTCATATAAACATAGAATAAAACAAACAAACAATGTCAAATAAAACAAAATTGAGAAGACCTTATACAGCATAAAGGCACTGATTCAAAGGGCTGAATCCAGACACAGTCATGCTTAGAGTAAATGATGGTAATAATTCAAGGGTCTACTCTAAGCAGGACTAAGTTTAGAGCCAACAGAAACAATTTTTAGTCCTGCTAATGTCAACATGAACAAGTTAAAGCATGTGCTGAACTCCCAATGAAACTGAGGGTGTTTCGTACCCGAAAAAGATGTTTTAGCTGAGTCAACATGAAAATGAAAAGCTGTATTTTGCTTTGTTTTTAAAAACTGCCCCATCACCAAACATTTTAGAGAAACTGCCTCATGGGAAATTTCAGGAAGGAAGGGTTTTTTATTTGGGTTAAGTAAAGTAGTGGTCAAAACTGCACTTTGAGCAATTTGACTTAACTACAGGATGTGTCTTAAGGAGATTGTGTCATTACATCTACTCTCAAAGTGCTTATTAAAACTTCTTCATTATCCATAACTGGTCGTATTATTATACTCCCAGAGTGCTTGAGGAAAGTACATTTATTCCATCTCGTAAGTATGAATTTCTCCAAACAATCTCTATGACAACAAAAACTAAGCTCCCAGGAATAAATTTCCCTGATTAGGACCACACATGCATAACTACACATATAATAAGTGTGTGTGTGTGTGTGTGTGTGTGTGTGTGTGTGTGTGTGTGTGTGTGTAATCAGAGAACAAACAAGCTGCATAGCCCCCAAACCTCCTGAGTCCTGAGCCATCTTAACAAGGCATTTTATTACAAAGTAATGCCAGCCTATCATTGTTTGTAAGGTGAGAATTTAATTCAATCCCTGATCAGGTCCTTCTTTCTGAAAACACAATGGAACAAACCTCTCTCAAAAGGCAGGTCAAGCTGTGTGTCTTTGTTTCCTTCTGGAGAACTCTCATTTTCAAGCATGAGTTTAACAGCACTTCAGCCTTTAAGCAGGCATTCAAATTACTTTTGCACAAACATTCGCATGAGGGAGAGGGCTGCCCAAGCCCAGCCCTGCACAGCACATCACTTCCATCCCATTTACAGCCTTCCATTAGTTCGAGGGCAACAGTTTGATGCAGGGAGCCTCCTCTAACCAAAAAGTCTCCCCGGGTGATTTAAAACAGTTAAATTGCATAGAAATAGAGAAGTCTCCATGATTCAGACTTGGGAGCGTCTTTGGATGGTGGTGATGGGGCTGTACTGCGTAGAAGGACTTGGGGGGGGACCCTTCTCTCTCCATTTTCTTTTTCTTTCTCTTCTGACTCCTGTGGCACCTCACTGTTCTTCTCACTGGCTGCTTCATTTTTCTCTCTCACTTTCCTCTCTACCCTCTTGGTCACTCAGCTTTCTGTTCAGCTGCTCAGGTACCAGCCTGAGCCTTGGAAAACACCCAGAGCTGAAAGAGGAAGTGAGAAAAAGCACCACTCTTCCAACTTCAGCTGCTTCATCTCTATGTGTTTCAATGGCGGACAAGGTAAACAACCCTTGCCACCTCGTGACAAAGGGAACAGAGGGGTGATCAGAGGTA